TGTTTCGGCCGTAACAAACGCTATGTGTCCAAAGTTTTTTAATAAAAGCTCATCAAAGGATATTAGCAAAATTTTTACACGTTGTTTGTATTATTTCTACGCTCCGCTGCGCTTTGGGACATTTCTGATTAAACGATTTGAAATCCGTTTATAATTTAAGAGTTAATATTAAAACGAAGTTTTTATTTACATATAACGAGGCGGTAATCTGCCCTGTAGGTTTCTCTGTAACCAAAACAAATGGAGTGATATGTGGAGTAGGCTTACGCCACCTACACGAGATATCGAAAATATTTTAAAAGATTCTTACAAAGTTGCAAAAAGGGACGTAATCTCATTGCCGGAGTTTCTATTGGAAAGCCCGATACATTGTTGGATATTATAAATTTATTACTTAGTGCTCCTTAAGCCTCTTTCTTTATGGTTTCTAAGAAAGGTCGAAGCAACGGGTGCTATTTTTAAGAATCCGTACTGAAAGGCAAGAGTTCGAAGATTACAATTCTGCAAATAGTTTATCAATTACACATAAAAAAGGTTATTTTTTTCTATATCAAATTGTTTTATATCGATTATGTTCTCCTAATGTCCGTTTGTCTTTCAAAAAATCATTGAATCAGATTGACAGCAGCGAAAAAATAAGAAATTACGAAAAAACAATTTCTCATGCATTATGCTGCCCTAATGCAAATTGTTGCTTCAGGATCCAGTAACTCCAGAAGGTGTAAGACCAATTATAGGCAAATTCTTACGCATCATGATCTCCTAATCCAAATTTCTCTTTTACAAAATGACAAAAAATTGAATGAAAAACACCTTCTCGTGCATTCCGCTCTCCTAATACTAACAACTAACAAGTGAACGGAATCCCCCATAACGCATTTTGCTACCGGTATTTGTGCCACTTGATACATCTGGTTATGAGCTCAATTGCGCCACTTGAATTAAAGCTAGCGCCATTACGGTTAAGCCATAAAGATTTTTAAAAAGTGGAGGGTCTAACTTAGCGTTTTCAAAAGTTATTTCCGGAAGTGCGTCCATTTTGAAAATATTTTACATCGATTCGGCCTTCGGAGTAACTCCTAAATACAAATTTTTAAAAACCTACCTATTTTACTTTCTCAGAATCGTTTAACTAAAGCTCCCAAAAAACACCCTGTATAGTGTTTCTGAAACACTATAATGGCGCCAAGATTTTTGTTTACGGCGCATTTTAGCGCATGATGAAAGGTACGATGTAGTAGAAAAAACATGTTAAAAAACGTAACTTTTGAAAACGTTAAGTTAGCCCCCCCCCCTTTTTAAAATTTTTTATGGCTTAACCGTAATGGCGCTAGCTTTAATTCAAGTGGCGCAATTGAGCTCATAACCAGATGTATCAAGTGGCACAAATACCGGTAGCAAAATGCGTTATGGGGGATTCCGTTCACTTGCCCCCCCCCCCAAATATATTTAAGGATAACCAAAAAACAATAATGGCGCAAAGATATCTTTTTACGGCGCATTTCAGCGCATACCTGAGAGTACAATTTCGTATGAAAAGATGTTAAAAAAAAGTAACTTTTAAAAACGTTAAGTTGGCCCCCCCCCACTTTTTGAAAATTTGTCACGGCTTAACCGTAATGGCGCTAGCTTTAATTCAAGTGGCGCAATTGAGCGCATAACCAAATGTATCAGGTGACCTAGTTACAAGGGACAAAATACGTACTGGGGGGGGGGGGCTACGTTCACTTGGCCCCCCCAAATGTTTTTTCGGATTTCTAAAAAACGATAATGGCGCAAGAGTTATTATCGGTGGCGCATATGAACGCATAACGAGCGCATTCATTTCAAAATAATACGACTAGTCTCTCAGTGGGGGGACCAAGTTAACGGACCCGTTATAACTGTTCTTTCTTTTATTATTCAATGTATACTTCTCTGATTTATAGTTTGAATAATTCATTAGTTGCTGATTATTTAAAAACTTATATTGACTGTTAATTTTAATTATCGCTTGTTAAGTGTTCTTTTATTTCAAAGCCAACTAAATATAGCAACATAACAAACCGAAGTTACATTCAATCCGTAAAGAGACGGTCAAAATGGTGCAAAATTCATACAAGATTGCGTTGCACGTATTGTACGTCCTCTAGCGGCAAACCTAAAGTCTCGATAATAATTTAATAAATGTCACTTATTATTATTAAATGATTAAGTTTGTTGGTTTGAAAATAATTGCGTGTTGTTATTGTAAAACTTTATCTCCGGTCAGTGCGATAAGAATTCGTTATCGCTGCGTAAATCTAATTAATTTTAAGATCAGCAGATTTTTTCGCCGAAGAAAGCAGTTACTCAAAAACGCGCATTAATTTTGATACGGAAGTAGAGGCGGAAGGTGTGAAGGGAAAAAGTCATTAAATAAAACAGACGGACGCGAAACGTTGCTTTTGGGTAGACGCTTTGATTAGTGTATGGTAGTTTGCCGTAATTGAATGTACGTGAAAGCTCTTAAATAGCTCGTAATAAGTCGTGCATACAAATTATTTTGAAATACGTAAGTATAAGGAAAAAAGAGGAGGGCCTAAGTAGACCTGGCCACCCCAACGATTATATCTATTTTCCGTAAGGGTAGATAAAGTGATCACTTTAACGCTGTAACGCAAGTGGGACGCGGAGCCCGAGTTAAAATGCAGTTCAGAACATAATACAATGCTGTTAGAACCTAAGCTTGCAATTTTTGACGTTTAAATTAAATCCAAAATTGCCAGAAGCTTTAAAATAATTTTATAATTACATCGCGCCATTTCGTATGACGTATAACGGACGTACTTTCTTTATGGTAGATCGCAACTCCCCCGTTAAATGACTTTTCGCACTCGCCACACCACGTACTCGAGCGCAGCGGTGAGTTTTTCTCTAATGGGGAAAAAAGAACCTACCAATAAAAAAACCAGCCGTTAAATTAGTATCAAATTGTGTTGTAAATGATGTGAATGCGTAACATAAAATTATAACATCACAAAAAGTAACTCATCAGAAATGTGCTACTAAAAACTTTAATTTATTTACGAAGGCATTACAAAATCCCGGGGGCAAAGAAAAAAATATTGCTTGAACTTATACATGCGGGGCTTCGAACTAATTAATAAAAATCATTATACTCTGCGAGTTTGTGGTCAGCTATGTATAATGAGGTTTGGCGGAAATTTACTAAAGCTATCAGTTAGCTGCCTCAGAGGAGATTTCTGGTTCACCTAAATTAAATTCCCAGCGCAAGCAACATCAACAAGTACTCTCTCCGCATTATACGTATAAACTTAGTTTCCAGTAGCGTAAAAGGGTTTTAGGTACGATGATATTTGATATGTAAAATACGAGGGGCGCAACCAATAAACAAACCGCACTCGACAGTTAATTGACTCCGTCGTCATAACTTTAACCTACGGCAAAGAATTTATATTGCGACGGTGTATGCATATTTGCGAATAAAGTTCCAATAGCTTGTAGTTAGTGTCGCAGATTGTTGTATGAATGCATCCGTCTGGCAATTCGCTCGCCGTTTTGGGGAAATACAATAAAATTTACAGTAGCTTACAATATGAAGGTAATAAAAATAATAAGAGATTCGATATATATCCAGAAAATATTCGCAGAGAGCGCAAGAAAATTTCTTTAACGGCCCATAAAGGACACAAGTGGTGACATTTATAGTTTTTATAATGTTTTCTATTACTTATTGCCTGGAATTTTAAATCAACCTTTCTTTCCGTTTTCGCGTTTATTGTCTAAACATGTTTCGATTATTGGACCTTAATTGTTGTGCAGAAACTCTGTAGAGTGAAATTTAATCAGTTAGTCCCTCGTCTACTAAAAAAAGAATTGGAAAATTCGAAACCGTTCGCGAGCTATCATGAACAGACTGACGGACGCACAGAAAGTCCAAGATCACGAACTCGCTTTAAGAGCTCGTTTCTAAGAAAACCGGATAGGGCGCAACTAAGTCTTATAGTTAATTTAAAAACATAAAAAACACTTACTGTGGGAGAACAAGGTAAACTAACAGATCTTTCTTCAGGTTCTAATAAGGCTAAAGGGTAATGAATTGGGCAATGACTAAAATTGTAGACACTTGATTGGTCCAAATCGATATCTCAGTAGTACAATAATGGTCTCAAAATGTTACAAAATTAAATTTAACCTAATTTGCCAAAAAATCAATCTTTTTATACAAATGGTTCTAATAGGTCGATTTCTTCAGGAATATCAAAGTTACTTTCAACGAAATCTCTTTCTCTCTCAGAAAAATGCCGCTTCTTTTAAGAATATGGAAATAGATCGTTGTAATGGTACCGTTGACTTTTGGCACCACCCTGGTAACGTTAAATTCGTGGTGAAAGCCAAGCAAAAATGTCTATACGTATACTTGAACAAACCAGCTCCAATTTCGCGAAAATTAACACCCGACATTTTTTATAATGCACTGGAATAAAACGCAAATGCCCCGCTGTGTTAAAATTTGACCTAATTAATTAAGCTTTTTTGATGTGAGTAAATCCATCAATTAGTTGTGTTTAAGTGTAATTAATTGTCAATTCTGAAATTGGGAGTAGGTATTAACACTGATCTTGGCGAACTTTGAACTTGAGTTCTGCGCATGCGCCAATATCAAGGTCATTTGAACTATTGTGCATATACCAAGTGAATGCCGTGTTGTCTAAAACAGCTTCATTTCATACGGTATTTTTGCACCACCCTATATAGTCAAGTAATATTTTCTAAAATAAAACAAAATTTTCACGAATTTCCTTAATAGATTTTGTGGTGCAGAGACCACTAAAATAAATTGTATGATCTCAAAATGTATAGTCAAGATTTTTCTTAAATAAAACAATGTGTACCCTTCCCGAATTAATTGGGAAACAAATTTTCTGAACAGATTTTGATCTGTAGAATCCAGAAATGTTAACTCATTTACAAAGTGTCATCTTTGCTTGATGATGGAATTAAAAAATGCCACCTACCTTAGTAACGACGATTTTAAGGGCGCCAACTGACGAAAACTGTCGAACCTCCCTGAAACAAATAATTTAAATATTTAGTACACCAACTTTTAAACATACCGATTTGTAATTAATAGTTATTTATAATAATAAACATAAATAATATAAAACTTTATTTTATAGCAGAAGCCATATCGATCATTGTAAAGCTTCTGACAATTCAGAATGTAATTCAGACCTCAAAAATAGCACGCTTAGAGTCGTTTTCATAGAAACATCATTGTCATATATTCTGAACGTCACTTTAAATCGTGCTCGGCGTCCCATTTGAAATAAGAATGACAGATATCATTAAAATGCATAATAATCTGTTTCACTTTATCTACCCTCACGGTTAAAGAGCGACCCATACTCACTCAGACCTATTAAAATGTCGATTTAACATCTACTATAAAATAAAGTAACCTTTTTTATTGGATAAATTGAGGTAACGATTGTTCATTTTGTTTCCATCTACCTACCCCCAAAGATAAATTTTCTGGTAATTCAATTTAACCGAATAACGAGTAAGCATATAACATCAAGATAATTGATTGGGAGCTTTATTTTAAAAATGTTCCGATTCCGATTCGAAGCTAATTGTCCGATCCTTACTTTAATAATTTTTAACCATTTTTAATCCATCAATTAAATTCGCTTTCCCTAAATACCGCAGAGAAGGTATATTTTAATGGATGATGATAAATTCTATATACACAAACGATACAGAATGAAGTTCAGGTAGTACTGTGAGAGAATGAATTGTTTTTTAATGAACGTTTATTCATCGTTTGAAATTGAGTTTCGGAAGTCCACCAAAACAAAAGTTTCAGAAAAAGTAAAACGATAAACATTGAGGTTTGATAAAAATCAATTTGCCGACGCGAATAATTATAAAACATTTCGCAATATAACAAAAAGAGACAAAACGAATGAGCCGCATTAACCTTTCCGTGTTCACAACGTTTTTGTTTGCGATTTTTTTTTTGACAATCAGTCTTTCCGTCCTAAATGTTTTTCACGTGTGCGACGATTTACGTTCCAGTCGACTTCGTGAGATTTTAACGTCCCCAGAGGTCTCCTCTATGGGTCCCGGTTGTGCGTGCCTAAATAATGGCTTCTTTTTTCGACTTTTCATCTGGCGACATTTAAACGTTAATTTAAGTTGTTTATTTTTTTTTCTGCGGGTATTAGCGATGCATCCATCACCCTTCGAGAAAGGGATGAGAAATATACGTCGAAAGTGAAGTGGGGGCCTTTTTCATCACATATTGTGATGTAATGCGGAAATTTTCTTTGAAAACTAATCGACAACCAAATGATAGATTATTTTCTCTTTTATTCTAAAATACACGTTTCGAGATGTTATATCATTACTACTGGTATTATCGCTGCGTTTTCGGTAATTTCAATCAATCATACTGACAGTTATTAAAGCGTAGCTTTCTTTCGTTAACAAACGGATGGATTAGGTTTTGCTAACAGAATTATCCATTTAGTTTCGAGATAAGCAACGTAAAAGAATAGGGAATTGTCCTCCGAATTGACACTGAGTCATATTCAAAAGTTGTGCATGTTTTTTTTTTAAATAATCTGGGGGTGTTTCGTTCGAAAGCTACCTACCCTTAAAAAGTGCACAAAATATTTATTTTTTAATTTTCTTCACGAGATCCGTAAGACGCATCAAGGCACACCTTTGGATGGGACGTGTAATGGTAGCTATTGGTGTAGAATAAATTTTTTTGGACTAGATTTTCTTTCTATAACGCGTTGTTTTCCTAATAGATTTAGGAAATTCTAGGTTCCAGTGAGTTGTAGATAATAAAGGGTAACCTTATGTCAGTCGGCATTTGTTGCAAAAATAGTTTTCTTAAAGATATCAATTCCTGGACAAATTTGAAGTCGTTTGTATTGCATGTATTTTTACCATTTTAGTTTCCCATTTAAAAGTGTTCAAGATCACATCCTACGAATTAATTCCTTTCGTTGAGACTTTTCATTAGAGTACCATGAAGGATAAAACTAGTTCCATTCCCCCCCCCCTTCCCCCTCCACCCCGTACTTGGATAAGAGGACATAAAGAAGGGCAGTAGTTGGTAGAAACGGTTCCTTTCGTTGAGACCTTTAATTAGAATACAATGAAATAAAATTAGTTTTTAACCCCCCCCCCCTCAGGCCCCGCCCTGATCTCGAAAAAGAGTCGCACGGGAAAGTTATAGTTTATACAAACCAATCGCAAACAATAGCACATTCTTTTAATTCTTAAAAAATTCGCTAACTAGAATGGTTGGGTACTTTTTTGGAAGAAGGAAGAGGACGTCGAAAAGAAAGAAAAGAAGATCCGGAGTTTTTTGGTGGACAAAAGAGGTAGAGGAACAGGGGAAGAGCGAAGAAGGAGGATAAAGAAAAATTTGACTTGACGCCGACTAAATACTTTGACAAATTGACAATAAAATTTGGCTAATTAAATTTTTGGAATCTTTCTAACTAATGATTAAAAAAACAAAATGGACTTTTGATTATTGTACTGAATCTAAATTGTAACTTTACAATAGGGCATAAGGAACGTGAAAATTTGATTGTGTGTCCATGACAGAACTTAAACTTTAAAACTTCTAGAACACTCTCGAATAAACCCATCACATTTCCCGGAAAAAACGCGTCGCATCCACCTTCATTCCTTATTGCCTTGATGGCGACCTGATGGCACCCCGACGTCGCTATAGTAGCTTAAGTACCTCCTATATGTCGGGGGCATTTAAAGTGCGAATGCATACTTCCAGTGGCGGCGTGAGATCTAGTTTATTAGGTACAATAGTAAAATATTTCATGGATATTAGTAAATGGTCTCAAGTAGCGCGCATATCTCAATTAATATTATGAGTCTTAAACTTTAAAAATATCTCGGGTGCCTCAAACGTTCGATATTCTTTTGTTTGAAGTTTCAAAAGTGTCAAGTGAGTCCCAAGTGCTCGGATAATACAGGAAATACAAGTGTTTCAAATATCTTTGAAGTGTCGAAGGTGCCTTGTGTCGTATATAAAGTATCTTACATCTGAGGTAATCTAAATCTTTAGTGTATTACGAGGGTCGTCTGGTAAGTCTCTGATACGGAGTCAAGATGTATTTTATTTTTTAACTTAGGCTTTTTAATAAGGCTAATGGGTGAGGCTTTTTAATAAGGCTAATGGGTGAGGTTGTTGGGTTGCCTTCCTTCCGGGTTTATGCGTAAACTTTATCCGTGGCCTACTATCTTTAGTGTATTACGAGGGTCGTCTGGTAAGTCTCTGATACAGAGTCAAGATGTATTTTATTTTTTAACTTAGGCTTTTTAATAAGGCTAATGGGTGAGTTTTTTTTTTTTGGCCTTCCGGGTTTATGCGTAAACTTTATCCCTGGCCTACTCAGGTCAGTACAAAAAAAACTAAACCGTTTTGGTAGACATTTCTATTATTTGAAAATTCCTACCAGAAGTTCTACTATTAGAAATTACACATTACAACGCTGAGCGAATGGGAAATCGTCATGGTACGTTTCAATTTGCCACAAAAGTCGAATCGAGTTTCACAAAATAATTACACGTGTCATACACACCGAAATTTGAGCGTCAAAATTAATTGCGTCATTCCGCAAAAAAATACCTTGCCGAAATGTAGGTATGTATTTGAAAGGAGAAATGGAACAATAATTCCTTTTGAAGGCGAATTTCCAAGCTCGATATTTTCTCCTTTGCTCAAAATCAAGATACATCTTTCGTTGATGGATTACATTAACCTTCCATCTACTTCCGCCCGTTTCCTTTCTTTCAATCTAATTGAGCGATTGCATAACACAAGTCCAAATACACATTTCGACGGATCGATGACGCGAAAGCCGTCTTGCGAGAAGAAGCGGATGAAAGATATTTTTCCTGTTTACTAAACATTAAGTTTGAAGAACGACCTTAAAATTTCTTTTCCATTTTTAGATAAAATAAATAAAAAACGTTATAATACAATGTGTGTTGTATGCGCGCCTAGCCTCAGGGGAGGAAGAAGCAATTGATGTGTTAAAGAAAAATTACAATTTAGATGACGTTCGCTTGAAAAATACTGACCTTAAGACATAAATCAGATGGTTATTTAAACGAGTATTCTTTTTGCGAAAAAGTTTGAAATATGTGGTGAAAAGTAATTGAGTTTCGGTATTTATTATAGCAATCCTGTAAACTCTGATTATTTATTTTGGTAAGAAATACTTAATTGCGGTGATTTATGGGCGTTTGTTGTAAAATTGCTAGTTAGTTTGGCTTTTAGCTTTCATAACGTCTAATATTTTATTTTTTCAAATTTTCCGCAGAATCTGCATAATCTCGCACGTTTACCAGAATTAATTGCGATTAATCGCATCTCATCATTTCATTACATGTGTCCTACATTGCCATAAATGTAAATTCGCTTGCGCTTCCTCATTCCTCTAGTGCTGCGGTTCTCAAAATGTCACTCTCACCGATCAATTATGCGCACCCGTTCGCCCTTTCAGTTAATGACCAAGGATCGTCATCAAGGGCCAGCTGAAGTAGGGCAGGGATACACCCCCACCACTTTTTTGCACGGTCGTGGTCTTGGATCTTTGGACCAATGTGGATTCTGAACCAAGATGGTGGTCTGCAACTATGAAGTGACCTTGTTTTGTAGTGCAAGATCGTATCCTGAGATTTGTAACTAAGAAGAGGGCTTATTTGTGGCACAAGGTCGTTTAAAACAAGAACAAGGTTATTGCAATGGGGTTAATTCAATTGTTAGACATATGAGTAGAACCGGGTCACGTGGCCCTTCCACTTTTTTATTGGAGGTTTAATTTTCAATCAGGATCAATTAAATTGATTCGCCGAATGAGTCTTTTCATGGATATTTCTCGGAATTTGGACTTAGATTTGATTAATTAATTAAAAATTCGTACGATTTTGAGCTTTGAAATTGATATAATGCGCGGTTTGATTGGTCTAATTAATTTAATTCGCGATATAATAAAGAAAAATAATTACGCATTTCT